TTTTTTTTTTTTTTTTTTTTTTTGTCTCTTTCTGTTCTGGAATTCCATTCAAATGTAAGTTATTTCTCTTGATGGTATTTATAAATCTTAGAATTGTTTTCTATTTTTGTTCTTTTTTTCTGATTATTCCTCTAACATAATATTGGGAGATTTGTCTTCAGTTTCGCTAATTCTGTCTTCCATTGATTCACTTTTACTTTTTTGTCCTTTCAATGTGTTATCTGTTTATGAAATATTAGTATTATCCTGGATTTCTATTTGCTATTTTTGTATGTTTTCTAATTTTTCATTTATTTTATCAGTTTATTCTATTGTTTTCCTGAATTCTTCCAGAGTTTTATCTGTGTTTTTATGTTTATGTCAGTTTTTCCTTGATCTCTCTCTCAGTCCATTGAAGGTACCTAACTGTAGTTTTTTTGAATTCCTTGTCAGGTAGTGCCAATATCATTTCTTCCTCAGGTAGGTTTTCTGGCTCTGTATTTTCATCCCTTGTTTGTATTTATTTATCTTGCTTCTGTATCTGAACTGGGATTGTCTATTGGCTCCAAGACATTTTGATATTGTTGTATTTGTATTTAATTGGTGATTGTATGTTGGTGTGTTTTGCCCAAGTTTCTTTTTTGCATTATTTTGTTTTGATATATCTGAGCAAGTTTGTGTGCTACTCTGTTTTCTAGTTTGGCAGCACTTAAATATTCCCCATCTGTTTCCTGATGGGTGTGAAAGAGGATGAAATGTGTGCTAAATTCTCTTTTCTCTGTTCATGTAGAGCTGTTGAGGGAGTTTGGGCTAGTGGTGGTCTCTATCTATCATTGATCAGATAGTGAAGAAATAGATGGTGGCCTCGTGCAGTGGGTGGGGCTACAGGAGGTATGGATGTTGTTGGGTCATTTGGGCACAGTTGCTGACATCCACCAGATGGGAAAAAACAGACAAACAAGCAAACAAACAAACAAAAAATATAAAAGAACAAAAAATACAAACAAAAAGGAAAATTTACAACAAATGATACACAACAAAAAAGAAAATAATAACTAAAAGAAAAGAAATAAAAGACTAAAAACAAGAGGAAAAATAAACAACAGTAACCACAAAAAGAGAAAAGATAAATGAGAAGGAAACAAGGAAAGGACAAAGAAAAAACAAAACCTAGTAGAGGGGAGAAAAAAGAGCAAAGGAAAGAATAGTAAAGAAAAATGCAAGACAGAAACCAAGGGATGGGAAAAACAAAAAGAGAAAGGGAGGAAAAGAACAAAAAGAAAAAAGTCAATGAGAAGGAAAATATAGCAAAACTATGGAAGGGATAAGAAAATAATGAATGGACAAAGAAAAAGGAGAAAATTGGGGGGGTGTGCACACAGCACCTGAGTGGTGTTCCTGCTGGCTGAGCAAGCAGCAGAGACAGGGCACCTGGTTCTGGAAGGAGTTTCTGCCAGCCTGAAGACAGCTTGGGGCAGGGTGACTGATCCCAGAAAGGGTTCCTGCTGGCAGGGCACCTGGACATGGAAGGATTTCCTGCCGCCCCAAAAGACAAATGGGAGCAGAGCACTTGGTCCCAGAACTACTTCCTGCCTGCCCAGAAGGCAGCTGGCAATACCACACCTGGTCCAGGATGGAATTTCTGCTGGTCCAAAAGGCAGGTGGGAGTAGGGCATAGCTTCACCTCTGGTCACACAGAGTGTGGGGAATATGGAAAATATTGCACCTTTCTGGTTGCCAGCTACTGGTGTGGGTTCCTGTACAGTCCACAGCAAGTAGAGCTGATTATCAGGTTGTTTCCCCAATCGGAACATTACTTGCAAAAATACAAAATGGCCAGGATGTCAGGCAGTTTATAGTTATGTTTGTCTCCTTGTTCATTGTTTTCTTTCAGTTTCTTCTTTTAGTTTGTATTTGATCCACTTCTTTATTCTTTCCTTCAAAAATCAGGGACCCAGGATTATCATCTGTAGCTGTTTCACTTGGTTTCTCATTTCTTTGTTGTAAAGGGTCTGTGCGGCTTGTCTACCTATTCTTCCATCTTGCTGGAAGTCCTCATGAAAGAATTGTGTTAAAGATGGTGGGAGAGCCGAGTATAATTTTTGGCAGAGAAAAGGAAGTCAACCAATGGAAGGGGTTAATGGATCGTGGGAAAAATGGGATAATTGATGAAAAAGGTTCTGGAAAAAGTTGGGTAGAAATAGGATCTGATTAGGCCCAGATAGGTGGAGAGCCTCGTTAGCCTGGATAGAGAGGAAGGATTTCTGACTCTTTAATACTGAAGGGATAAACAAATGTAGATATTGGGGGAGGGGGATGCAGAGGCAAGCGAGGAAAAACACAGCATTTCTTCAAAAAGATTGGATACACATTTTCTTCTGAGAGCCAGGGTAGAGTCGTGGAGCAGGGGCTCTCAGAGAGCCATGAAGGTTTGGAATTATCTCAGAAGGGAGTAAGAGAGGGAGTGACCAAAATAAGTACCAGGAGATATAAGAATATCTGAGTATTTCACCAAATGCTGCCTGTCACAGATGGAACCAGAGCAACATCAGATTGCATCATGCAGGAGGCCAGGTCTGGTCAGAAGGTCAGTGGGCATTTTCCACAGTGGCACAGGAGGAGGACTGTTTGTACCACCCTGGGCAGTTAAAGTCTACCTAAGATGCCTTTTTCTTCTAGTTCATTCAGTTCTTTCCAAGTCCCAGACCTGGCATTAATCTGATTACTCAAGCTACTAAAATGGGAGTAATAGAATACCTGACACACATTAAGCCTTTACATGTATTAGGATTCCCTGGGTGGTGCAAAAAGTTCTTGACTGCTAACTGAAAGGTTGGCAGTTCAAGTTCACCCAGAGTCACCTTGGAAGAGAGAACTTGTGATTCACTTGTAAAAAAAAAAAATCAGTCATTGAAAACTCAATGGAGCGTAGTTCTAATCTGACATAGTTGCAGTTACAGTGATTCAGAATCCATTCTACAGTAACTGGTTAATGGTTACATATCAGCTCATTTAGTCTTCACAACATGTTTATGGGGTTACTATGAATCCCACAGTTTACAGATGACCAAACTGAGCCATATCTAGGTCTTGCCCAAGATCACGTAATTTATGGAGCTGAGATTGAAACCCAAGAAGTCTGCCTCTAGAGCCTTTGCTTTTAACTGCTACATGGCACTGCCTCAAAAGGCCATGAAATGTTAGCACTGGAAGGGAATTTAGTGACCTTTTTTAATGAAATCTCCCTTATTTTCCCAATGAAATACCTAGATATGCCAAAATCACAAAAGGATTATGAGAGAGCCAGAGCAAGAAGCCCAGCTTCTGGGAAGCTGTCAGTTCTCAAGCAAGTGTTTTTTCTGACCTACTCCCCACAAATACACCCCCTGGCTCTAAACAAGAATTTGATCTGAAGTGGGTCTCCTGGAGCTGGGCTTTACCTGCTCCAAACTCCATAGTTACCACTGGGAAAAGCTATCTGTCCCTCTGGCATGGGAGGTTGTCTAGGATAGCAAAACAATTCAGGATGGAACTTCTGGTCCTCAGAAACTGCTACTCGGTCTTGTTTTCAATAACTTTCATTAAGTCATATTGACAGAACACTTTCATGAGATAGAACAGTCCTCCTTCCTCAATTTTCCAAATAGATTAACAACATAAATTTCTATTTTCTTCCTGAGAACTGAACACAACTCTCTACCCCCACACCCCCACACACACCCCAAATAGTGGTTCTAGAGCATCTTGGCATTTGGTTGGCTTCTCCTGCCCTATTTAAAATAGGCCTCACTATGACTATTATATCCATAGATTATAATGTAAAAAGTAACTGAATAGGGTGTGGCTCAGAATAATTTTAATTTTCAGCTGGCTCTGGAGTGTGGAAGGATTATAAACTTGCCTTCAAATACTTTTACTTGGCATCTCAGAGTGGGCAACCCCTTGCCATTTATTATCTGGCCAAGATGTACGCAACAGGAAAAGGAGTATTAAAATCCTGCAGAACTGCTGTGGAGGTAAGTAACAGGCTGTTTTAAAGTACTTTTCATTTATCACACAGAGGATGTAATAATATCCTTAACTTATTGGTGCCTTTGATTTTATAAATATTACCTCTTTTCCTCCAGTTGACAAATGTGAACAATGACATTTGCCAGAGAGGAAAAGCAGTGATGTAAGAGGATTGAGGAACGGAGGAAAAGAAATGACCCCTCCTCTCTTGCATTTGGCCTTTCATCAAGTTCAGAGCTTGCCTCAATATTCTGTTAAGGAGCTCTGTTTCAGCCTTCCATCAAATCACTAGGGTAATTTGGCACTCCTGGTGGAGTTGGAAGTTGCTGCTTGGGAAATGAAAGGCTTGATTTAGCCTAGAAATGTATCCACTTCTGCCCAGAAAGCAAGCTTCTTATGTTTTTGATGATTTGGAAGAAAACTGAGAAAGTAGATTCTTTTATCCTGAGCCAGTGATGTGCTTTTCCATAGATGTACTTTTAGGACCTTAATGTGTCTTTCATTGATTAATTAAACACGCTGCACCAATAGAAATACCTCCACGTTGCAACCTGGCCCCTCTGAAACTCATTTCAAAAGCTGCCAGCTAATAATCTATCTTTAGATTTGCTTCTTTGCCAACTTCCTAATGAATTATGTATGGTTAACCTCTTTTGGTTACATAAGGGCTATTTAGCTCAGTTGTCCCCACAGAGCTCTGGACACCTCTCTGGCAGTTATGTCATTTGCACCCTCAGGCGCTGTCTTCTCTTCTTCATTCTCTCCTCTCCACATCAGCTGTGCCCTTAATAACTTGCCTGCACAGAGCCACAGGGCACAGAAAGGCCCTTTGTTTTAAATAGAAGACAATATATTCTTGTCCTGCCAAACAGTCTCCAAGTCAGGAAAGTTTATTACACAATTTTAAAATAAACCTGAGGAAGTTGCAGCTCAAGACAAAAAAATATACACTTGTATTCTTTGTTCTTATGAAAGGTATTAACTCTCCATCCTAAATAATCTGCATAAGCCATGTTTTAGACCTGAAATCCTTGCCTGACCAGCCAGGAGGAGCTGAAGACCAATTTCATTTATCATTTGCCTGGAATGAAGTATATTATCTAACTATTCTGCTTTATTTCTCTTCTCACATTCAGCTTTATAAAGGTGTCTGTGAACTAGGCCACTGGGCTGAGAAGTTCCTGACAGCATACTTTGCCTATAAGGATGGTGATATAGATGCTTCTCTTGTTCAGTATGCACTACTTGCAGAAATGGGGTATGAAGTAGCTCAAAGCAATTCAGCATTCATTTTGGAATCTAGTAAGATAAGTTAAAATTCTCTGCAATTCCCCAATCATGCATATGCATACAGATTTTACTACAGGAGAATTTTAAGCCTTACTAATGGAATGGTTCCTTTTTTTTTTTTTCAGAAAAAGCTAAAATTCTTGATAAAGAGAAGATGTATCCAATGGCACTTCTTCTATGGAATCGAGCTGCCATTCAAGGTACAGAACATAGATAAAAATAAGTGCTCACCTAGTTCCTCTCCACTATTCTTCAGATTGGCTTTGGCTGCACTCTAGAGCACATATGCAGAAAGGGGCAGAATAATGAACTAGAGGCATTTCAAGTTTGTCTCATGGTCAGTGTTGGGTTAGCCTAGAGGTTGTGTCTAGTAAATTATTTTCATTATTCAGAATGCCTCTGATTTAGCAAACCATAGGAACCTTTCTGTGGCTCTATTCTCCATGACACCAGAATAGTTGTTTAAAACATGACAAATATATTCATGCAACCAGTTTTCTTGGTCTAGCTTCCGGCACTCATTTGCTGAGTTCTTTACTGAACTAATAAAAGATGTGACCTATGTCTCAGTGAATTTATATGCAAAGTTACTTATGCATCTAAAACTCACTTAGTTTTTTTTTTTTTAATATCACATTGATGATTACCACAAATTTCATATGTTTACTATAACCATTAATAATTATTGACAATATCCTCTCCCCTTTCCTGGAGTCCCCATGTCCCACTTACTGGAATCCCATGTGGTAAGGAATATAAGATGACATTGGTGGGAAAAGTATTGGTAGGTGGCATTTGCATCACCCTGCTTCTTCCCATTCTTTTCCTAAAATTGTATTATTAAAAGCTAGAGATACAGCAAAACTGTCACTGTTGACATTTGGATCAGTGAGGAACTCTTTTGCAGTAAGAGAGTAATTTTACTTCCAATTAGGTCTCTTAAAATCATCTCATGCTAAGGTTAAATCATTCCTTTTCACAGGAAGTGAATAAGATAAAAAAAATTATTCTCTCTGACTCTCATTTAAGGCAGAGGAAAAGAATTATACTGGAGCTTTCTCAGATTCACCTCAGCTGGTAATGCAGCAGTAAGTCATCAATGGGATTTTTGAGAGAAATTCTTCCAAAAAAAGAAAAGTCTGTGTTTTCCAAAATGCAATAAAGACCTTGCTTGAACTGGGAAAATAACACAACCAATCTCCCAGTCATGAAAGATCAGCTCAGTTGCAAAAATACAGGTTTACTCCAAATACAAAAATTGTGTGGAAATTGCACCAAGGAACAGAGACATTGAAGACGAGGTGATGTTAATATTAAACAGGATTCCCCAACATGAAGTCAGGTCACTAAAAATAGTTGTGTGCCCCAAGGGAGGTCAGGCATGAATGTCAGTGGAGATATGGCTGCTAGTGGCTCACTTGGGGTTGTTGTTATTGTTGTTATGTGCCATCAAGTCAGACCCGACTCACAGTGCCCCCTCCTTGGGTTTCCGAGGCAGTATCACTACAGAAGTAGATTGCCCCATCTTCCTTCCGAGGAGTGGCTGGTGGGTTTGAACTGCCAGCCTTC